TGCAGTAATATTATCACCTCATTTTGATGAACTGGTGGTTCCAAAACAATTTAGCCTCTCTCATGGTGAGGATTATTGATTATAACTTGCCACTTGTCTCTTTCAAAAGGCCATTAACCCTCTTCGTATGTATGCAGGCGTGTGAAAGTTGTGGTCCTTCGGTGTCCAGCTTCGCGCTGATTTGTGGAATCTATTGGAAACTCATTCCACTTCTATTTCTATACCATATATGTACAGCGCTGACGCCAATGCGGAGCACATTTTTCCAAAACACTTCATCATCACCATCATCATCATCATCATCATTATTATTATTATTATTATTATTATTATTATTATTATTATTATTATTATACCCAAATATGCATAGTGTGAAAGAAGCCACCTAAATCGTCCCGTGATGCCACCAAAGCTATTGGAAATCATAATTACGTTTTGGTGGCTTTAGTTCCTCTTTAAAGCTGATTGACAGACCTTTTATGGACATGCTTTGCCGCAGGTTTTCCAATTAAGACCTTTTGCAACTTCCCAGGTCATAAGGATTCCGTATAATAGCATAGCAGACTTGGGGTTTACGAACGGTCAGTTAGAAATGCAGATGGGGTGTTATATGGATGAATTCTTGTTTTAGGAATAACCTAAACAGTCATTGGAGTCTCAGTTTCGTGGTCGTGGCTCAGCGTGTACCGGAAGTTGACAAAAGGCACGCACTCATGAGACTTGGGGATTTATATAGCGAAAATACATTGGCGTGAAAGTTACCACTTTTCCCTTTATCGCCAATCAAAGATATTTTTTACCAAGTTACAATCTATACACTCCTCGTGTGTTTTTAGTTTTTTAGACACCATACCAGTATCTAAATGTGGACGGGGACTGGTAAATTTCACTCTTGACGGTAAAACTAGAAATTTAAGAACTCAGGAACGGGTTTCTAGATAATATCTTCTGAACAATTTTGGATTGATTTTACATATGCAGTATACTGATAAATTGAACTTGTCGAAATTATCAAGTAAATTATTATTTTACTCTATAAAGGTCCAACAAGTACTGCGTGACTTTAATTATTTTTTTAGGTTAATCTAATTAATCAAATTTCAGCTGAATATAATAATAATAATAATAATAATAATAATAATAATAATAATAATAATAATAATAATAATAATTGACTGTTAACAGACCTTTACTCTCTTAGCTATAAAGCAATGGCATTGCATTAAGTCTAAGCGCATCCCCTGCTTTATTATTTGATATACACAACCATACTTGCCTAGCAAGCTTTATCGTTAGGTGTAGGAGTGAAATTTATCACGTTGCTTATAAAAAAAGGTAAATTAAACAAGATGACCTTTCTGCACCAAGAACTCCAGTTAATTTATCTCATCGCTTATCGGACGTCTGGGAGCTCTCTCTTCTTTATTTACAGTCAAGGGTGAAACATTAGTTAACCTCTGTATCTAAGCTCATCTACTTTCTTCCATTGCCCTTTCATTTCAAAGCTGCTTCCGTAGTGTTTCAATCGGAAAAGAAATCCTCATATAAGTACGAGATCTGAGGATATCGAATTTTGAACGTTTGCCATTCTGTGTTTTTGTTGATTAGACCAAGCAAAACATATGCTTTGTTGCCGTAAAAAGGTTTTCCTTTCTAAACCGAATTTATTTTCATAGTAGGTACATGTAGATTTTTCTTCATTATTGGGTAAAACATGCAGACATGATAGTAAACGAAAAACAAGCAAGGTAAGTAAGGTGTTTGGATGAACGCTTTAAATTGGTAGTCTTTTTGCGGGTTGATATTTCAAGTCTTTTGAAACAGAGCCAATGCTGGGTTTGTTTAACAACCAGCTCAAATGAATAATGGCGTTTCAGCGTGCCTGGATCAAAACGCCTCTGATGTCATTTGGCACTCTATCAACAACAAGCGACACATCAGACCGAGCCCCCAGATGATTATATATATATATATATATATATATATATATATATATATATATAGAGAGAGAGAGAGAGAGAGAGAGAGAGAGAGAGAGAGCAAAGCAGCCGTGCAACAATTTGTCACCTTCAAAAAACGCCGTGTTAAATTGAGTGTTATTCCAAAGATTCGTTGACAGTTTAATCAATGTGATGAGAGGCCATAGACGAATGTAATTTACATGGAGATTCTTTTGTGCCTGAATCGCATGTTTGCATGCAAATATATGTGATGCACATTATCATCCAGACTACTCCCTTTGAATGGTTTTATCTGCATCTTTAAACTTATAACAAGTTTAAAAAAAGTTAACAGAACAGAGCATGCTGGTGAACTTAAACTAAAATAAAACAAACACATTGTTTGGCCAGTTTGACCTTAATCCGTTCTACTTGAAAATGATACAAAACACTATTTGTGCAAGACAACGCGTTAGGCTAAGGCAATTTATCATTTCTTCTCCACTGGCAGCCACGTAAGGTAAACGTCATTTCATTTATTTATTTTACTTTATGCCGAATACAAATAATGATCAACAAGCATCAACATGCGTTTTTTTTAAATCTCGTATTCATAATTTGAGCAATTGAGCAAACATATGTATTAGCTCGGTAGTTGGATCATATATGATAATTATTTAACGAAAACTGAAAATAATTTCATACCGTGAGCTCGCGGCCAACATGGACGTAGGCCTTTATCAGAATTATAACTATAATTACTAACTGACCGCTGGGTGGTATAGCGGCCACGGAAGATACGGGAGGCAATCAACAGCAGCCGTCACCAGCCACTCATGAAGCTAGGGGCAGGGGGCGATATACCTGACATTTACAAGAGAGTCCTAGCAGCTGTACAACCTTGCGGTCAGCGAGTAATAAGACTGATCAGTCTGATTAAGGCCATGTCGGTCGCAAGCTAACGGTATGAAATTAATTTCAGCTGGTGTTAAATTATATCCGTATTTAATGGTTTGAACAATATTTATAATCATAAATATTATCTTTCAAAAAGGTTAAATGAAACTGACAAGAGAGTGTGAACACATTTGAGCATTTATTGCAGAATATAAATATACTTGTATGTATATATATTTGTAAACATGAATATATGTGTGCTTATCAGAAATTAGAAGACGAGAGGTTGCCAGATACAATTTTATAACAGCCGACATTTGCCCCTTTTTTTCAAGTGTCTGGTTAACTAAAGTCTAGTCCCAGTGAACAAAAACATAACGCAGATTCATACCAAACACGTTAAATTTTGTTCCAGGGTGGTGACACGCCCCCCCTCCCTCCATAGCCTCGAACCCCCCTCCACCCCAAACAGTGGTGTAACAAGCAAAAAACAGACCAAAAACAAATCACTGACTATCCCTTTGAGGCTTGTGGTATTATATCATTGTATACATCCAACCTTTAAAAAAACCCAGGATCTGCCTGCAGTGGATGGGCAACGATGATCATTAAAATACAATACCAGGTAAAACATATAGCTTCGTTTGTACACGAGAAAGAAAAATAAAAATATTTTGTGTGCTTCTTTGTCTTTGTCTTTCTCTTCACTCACGTTTTGTACTTGCACTGACACTTGTATGTGAATAAGAATACTGCAATTTCTATAATGGCTGTTTTAGAAAGTAGGGGAACGGCGGGTCACTCACCCCTTATATCTTCTATGTATACTATAAAAAGCCTTTCCACCATTCTACCTCCCCCAAGTAGTGCTACATGTAGTATAGCAAGCTGGGCGAGACAAAACCCATTCAATTTTACCATCCGTGCGCTCCCTACATTTATAGTATTGTGTCCATTTTATGTTTTCCCAGACAGACATGGTCTTGGGTCCGCCAGAGCCTTTACCGGTAGGTGGAATATCTAGTTTAAATAAACCCACAATAAATGACAGTGTGATTAAAACTAGTATGTACAGAGCCCCATAATAGAGTGAATGATCTGTTAATGAAACTTACATGGATATGTAAATAATACAACGCGACAACGTGCGTATTGTGTTAAAGATAATGATAACAACAAATCCGTCAGAAGAAGACGGTGAAAGTTTTAAAAATACAACACGGAATAATAAGTTAACCAAATAACAATTGGAATATGTACATGTTCAACTTTATGAAAAATAACCTCCCCTTAAACCTTGCGGGTGTAAAGCTTATTGAATCCTTTTATATATTTATATTATAATCATATTATTTATATTATACCATTTTCTCTTCACGGTCCCATTAAGCTTGTCCGAGCTTTATCTCACAAACAGTTAGCCATTTGGGGATTTTCCAGGTCAGCTTTCTCAAAATCTTGCAAAATCTCGTGTCTTTCATTGTCACTGTTTATGACAGTTCATGAAAAACAATTGACACATGTATAATCCAAGAAAAGATCAAGGGACTGAGTCAATGCTGGGAAAGAGTTACATTTCTCAACAGAAAAGGAGGAAATTCTAAAATATAACTCGAGTGTGAGTAAATCTGGAGTAACGACATTCGTCAGAAAACTCCATATATCCGAAGGACCTTCCTATTATCTAGTAAAGTTACAGTGCATGTGACTTTCACTAATGTTGCTAATGCAGATGACGGTTAAGTGTCTGTATCTGTTCTGAAATTCGAATTCCTGGTGAAAACCTTAGTTCCGTGTTCGCTATTTTAAGTTCACTTTATCTTGCTTGCAAGATAATCGTCCGGGCACTCACAAAGAAGGGCCGCTTGTAACCACTTCAGGTGAGTTGCAAAGAAACAGGTAATCGATAACGAAGGAAAAGGCAATGGAGGTACCTGCGGCGGTAGACTTTGTAAAACTTAAGGCAGTAAAAAGACACTAAAGTACATAATTAGGCAGAAGACGCAGTCAATTAACTAATGTGTCTTTTGTGGATGCTGTCAAGTTATGTAAAAGTGACGGTGATAAATGGATGTGATAATGCATTTGATAATAACGTTAACAATCAATCTCTCAAGAACCCGACAGCGTACTGTCGGATTGATAAGACTTTGATAGCCTTTCTCATCGCATGCTGAGTTTTGTGTCTGAAGGCGTTGATGAATTAGAGGAGGGTCCTTTTCTTAACAGTTTATTGAGAAGTCCCTTGGCGGCCTTAAGGCTCGAGAAAATGCGATTTTTTTCTTTCAGAGATTTGTCTTCCTCCGCAGCGTCTCTTTTCACAATGGCGTCAACCTGCATTTCTCTCCTGTTAATTTGACTCAGCGTCCCCACTAGCAGCTCGTCAACGTGGTGATTAAGGACAGCTGATGTCTCGATAAATTTGCAGTTGAATATTGACGCCAGTTTCTTTCCAGCTACAAAAAGAAAAATGATTATTTTAGTAAATATCCATTATATCTTTACCAAATGTATTAATAAATATAATGGATAAACAAATAGTTTACAAAGTTAATTTACAAAATACCAGATTAATTTATAACATCATCAATTTGATCGGAAGCTAGATTATACTATATGATGCCCGCGTATGGAGTTTACGAAATCGCGACATGGCGTGGCCAAAGAAGAAATGATAATTTGAAAAAGAAAAGAAAACATGACCCTATTTGACCCTCGGACTAGTTAGTCCCCTATTCTGAATGGGGCCAATCAGGCCCTTGACAACGGTTATGGTACGAACCATGTTTGGTCCAGTGAATCCAGAATAACTTATTGTAACTCGTACCAAAATTTAAAAAAAACTGAAGAACATCAGTACTAATCTGTTTTTATTGTACTAAGAATCAGAGTTTAGGCCGGAAACGTGTACAAATTAATATTGCTCTAGCCAATGTTTGAACATGATAGAATTTTCCAGTGGTTGTTATCAACCTTCAAAACAAACAAACAAACAAACTAATTAAGAGCCTATCCGTGAGAGGAAGTAGACAACATCACCCTTTAGATGTTTCTCGTCATGAAATGATGTTTGTTTGCGTGTGCGAATATCTTACTTGGAACTGAGATTTTAAAAAAAGAAAGAACCATAAGAACTTTTAATGACATGAATATCAAGGTTATATTTTAATTGGGATTTACAATAAATTCGAACATGCCCAAATACTTTTTAACAATGAAGTCTTCCAGGAAATACAGGTATCACCATCAATTTAATTTCTCACCCTCGATAAGTAATTACCGCCACTGATAATTAATGGCCTTCATTGGTATTTGCTCAAGTATTCTTTTAATGCCACACAGTCTTCAACACTCCTTTACGGCCGCCATTTCCAGATTCCACCCACCTGTAACCTGCGATGACTTGCTTATCAGAGATATAAACGCTTCTCTAATTATCTAACTCAAACGAAATACCTGTCTCCAAGAATTACCTAACAAGGCAGATTTCTGTGAATCGCAGGTTCATTATCGTTCTATTTAAGAGTGTGGTTTTTCACACAAACGTCAATCTCAAAACCAACATGACGCTTTGGTATGCAAGGATGTGATGTTGGGTGGAATATTAAAACCGGGACACCTATTGCTGGTACAGCACAATGCATTTTAATCCGTACTCAGATAAAAAATAAGACGTTTCTCGTTTGTCGATCCAGTGCACACTTCGTTTAAGGATTCGAGCAAGAACATTATCTAAAGATATTGCTACTCAATTCAAATTAGTTATTCACAGAAACTGACGACATTGTCAGTCATTTCAAATTTACATCCCTGGAGATGCTCTTAATTAATTTGAATGCATTGTTCATTGATTTAATATACGTTATCATGTGATTGTTCTGATTTTCGAATTGATTCGAATTAAGGCATTTATGTTATTTGAAAAAAATGGATTGCCTTTTGTGTCGCTATTTTTCATCATTGTCGTTACCAATAAGTACTTGGAATTCCAACTAGGCATTGTATATAGTAGCGATTTGTAAGAAACCGGGTTTGCCGTTCTATCTGATTGGTGTATCTCTGGTGTAATTTGATTATTACTGACTGAAGTTCGATGTTATCTACAATATAACCGCAAATCGCCGTCTTAATGACACACAGCGGACGCAGGCATACATGTAGCTTTAAGTTTAACGCAGTTCACTATGAAGATAATTGTTTGTGGTTTTCTATCGATTTCTAGATAGTGCGCACACAGCTGCGTAACCAGTCAGACCATCAGATCAGCTCTGATTTGCTGAAACTGTTCTCCAGCAATATCACAATGCCGCATCCGATTTTAGTGATCGAATGGATAAATGGTCCGTTACTGGGCAGATATCACACAGTAAGTATAGTCCTCTTATCTGGAATAGTGTGTACCGCCTGGCTTTAATTTTGAAATTATTTGAATCAGTGGTGTGTACTTGTAGTCAACACAAACTGTTCTCAGTAACCACTGTCCGTTTCACACACTTGCGCGCGCACACACACACAAGCACACGCGCACAAATACAAACGCACCACACATTTTAGGTCTAGATTACGAGACAGGATCTGGGACCTGCTTCAAAGACCTATAGTCCGAAAACTGGTCTTAAACTTATGATAGCAACGTTTGTCCACTTTGCAACAAGATATAGACTGGTTGTTGTCTAAAAAAAGAAATATTGTATCATAAGAAGAGATACATGGTTATACTGGGCACTTGGTAAAATACCAAAGCCTTTATAGCCTCATCTTAAACTGAAGTAGAACAATCTCGAGGCTATAGCCGTTTTGTAAGCAGCGAACATGATTTTTCCCAGTTGCAACCGGAATAACCCCGCAAAAACTTGTTTGGTACATGAAGCAGATAATCAATCATAATAATCTCAGGATTTGTTCTGTCAGCTAAGAGGAACCGTGTTTGGTGCAGATGCACTGCGCGAGTCCGTAACTGCAACGGAGTGTATTACGGAAACTCTGGAAGGTGTTGCCTTGTGACTTTAAGGGAAACGTCATTTCTGAGGTCTGAAAATGAATTAAATGGCCATTTGAAGCCGGCTATAAACTGGATATTTATTTATTTATTTATTTGTTACGGGTAACCTAAATTTCATCTCTCCCTGTGAGGTACTTAGGTAAAAAAATCCACCAAGATAAAGAATAAAAAATACGGAAAAACAGCAATAACAAAAATAACATTCCTCATTTTCCATAAAGTTTTACTTAAAATGAGATGATTTTAAGCCTGATGCCAACGGAGCAAGTGTAGTCTTCCGCCCAATGTAATGCTTGTTACAATAGTAACGTCATTGGTGCTTTCTGCACTCTGCTCTTGGCGGAGGTATAGGGTATACACCTGCAATATTCCCGTCAACACAAGGATCACATCACCCGTAAGTTTTGTGATCAAAATGGGCAAAAATAACTGCAAATGATTTGAAATTATCATTTTATTTATTTTAGGCCCCAGAAAGTGACGCCCTCTTTAAAATAACGGAAAATACAGGACTTGACATATGCGACCTACCATTAATGAAGTTTCCTATATTTTTATTTGTAGACGTTTTGCTATATGTGACGTAAGTTTACGGCAGCTGACGACTTTTAAGTATATTGGTTTTGTAATGTGACCTGAGCTAAATGCCCCTGTATATAAACGAACAAACCAATTACAATAAAAAACTACCGCATCCCTACAACTAATGATGCCTAAAGTTACAAGTTTGGAGAGGAGAAAGTAGTGGTGGCAATTAAACGAATTCTCTGGCCAGCGTTTATTTTCGATCATAAATTAAAAAAGTGAATAAGCACCTGCGTCAGCTAAAACATAACTGGGAACAACAAGTGTCGTTTACGCCAGCCCGTGGAGAATTTCCCAGGTGTTTTCAGGTGTTTTCTGGCTTACTCACGTCACGCAAATGTTGTTTCTACGTGTTCTAGTGTTGATTTCCCATCCACATAATGGCACTCTTTACTTGCTTGGCAACTGATGTGATTAATTATTAATACTAGCAAATAACGCAAACTGAGTGTACTAGAAATACACGCCAAAGGAATGTCTAGATTTTACAGATGCGATTACTGGTAATTATGGTGTTGATTGAGGGCATTTTGGAAAAAAGCAGATTAACAGATTACCCCCACCAATTAGAAGGGAAAAGGATTAGCTCATAATGTCGTGAATTTATTTGACGACAATCGAGGGCGTTTTGTTATCAGGTTCACATATATAAGTATTGCAGATGTCTATGACAATGTCGACTCTAGCCTTACATAATGATAAGCATGTTCATTGCTTCATAATTTAGGGTAGCTCATTATAATTTGTTTTAAATTTTGTCTAATATTTTACCTTTTCAAGTTCTACAGGCAGTCACAAAGATGAACTTTTTGACACGAAGCCAATTACCTTTCCAAACGTTCGACTAAACGATCTTCATTTAAATTTGCGAAACAAATTTAGCGGGAAAATAACCAATTCATGCCGTCGAATTTATTTAGTAGTTACTGCACATGCCAGAATTATTAACCCAAATCATTTCCTAATCATAAAATGACACCCCAGAACATTTCCTGATTGCCTGCATTAATTCAGTCGTTAAGTCATCAACCAACCAAGGTGCCCCCTTTAAAGTGTGCCGTCATACGTCAGTGAAATGGAACGTTAAGGGTGTACTGGTCTCAGTGTATCTACAGAGTGTTTCAAAATATCCATTATATCCAAAATATCCATTACATTGCCTAAGCATTAGTATGTGTTTATTTGATGTCTATCACTTCCACCATACATCTACACGTAACTAGTTTCCTCACAGTGTGCATGTATATTCTTAAGGTGAATGGGAGGAAGCTGGACCTGGCTCCTGTTTCACACACACACACACACACACACACAAAAAAAAAAAAAATAATAATAAGTCAGTTCCCTGGCTTAGTTGATTAGGATTTCCATGAGAGTGCTGTTACACTGCTCCTGATAGGATAAGATGTGCCCATTTGACCATGTAGCTTTTTTTTTTTTTTTTTTTTTTTTTGAAACTGGGTCCTGGTCTCTCTGATTTCCCAGTCCACACGGCAGCAGGAATATGCCATTATAATGTTAGGCATCTGTATGTCTTGGTAACTACAAAGTACACGTAGGTGGATTAAAGGCGTCCTCTACGGGTGGGAGGGGGGGTACTCCCCAGTTTTTGCAATAACGCCAGTCATGTAAGTGAAAGAAATAGCTAGCGGGAAAGGGATAAATTGACTCTGTTCTGAATGGCAGTGCCCACTTTAAAACTGCTTCCTACGCAACTGAGTAATTACATGTAGTCATGCAGTTAGATAACGTATATGATTGATAGCATTAGTTACCCGTAATGCACTTTCAGCATAGAAATAATTCACACATTTCCCTCTTTGAAAGTTATTAGAAACCCGACTATTACATGTCAAACAGCGAGCGTTATTGCAAAAATCCATTTGCAACCATCTAATTCTCTCTCTTTTATTAAGATATTATGCCACTACTAACAGCATACATGCAGTGGGGCCAGCAGCTATTACACTGGAGGACTGTGTCTATCTAAAGCTTTTTTTCGCAACACGAACGCTATCTCCGACGAACCGCCATGCAATACTTAAGTACTTCCAATTCGCACAGTTCTTTACAGCTAGTGATTAAAGCAGCAAATCGATCGCAGCGGAAGTACCTTTTGAAACGAGGGTCTCGAAATTATGTCGTATAGCGCTGGCAACAATGCACTGAGTAAATCAAAATGATTAATACGGTGTAATCTGATGCATTTGAACGATTTGTGAGTAATTAGATATCTTGTTTCTGAAAAACACGCATCTTGCTCTCTTCTAATTTGTCAGATCATCTTAATAGATTGTGCTATAAAAAGCAAGTACATGTACCTTCACTAGCGCATATTCTCTTTACGTGTATTTCCCCCCCTGTTTGCCTGAATTTGAGGTGTTTTGGGTACAAACCACGTCACGCATATTTTTTTGTAAAATAACATCAAACCCGTACATACAGTAAATCGTTGGGCTTCATTGCCAAATGTGCTTATTAGATTCATTTACCAAAATTAGCTTAAATGCCTTCTTCTTAACATTACTTCAATACCATCATATTGCACACGCGGACAGAATATAAGGAAAAACTTACCATCTGTGCTCACAACTCTCGTTCTCGCGAGATCGCTTTTATTCCCCACGAGGATGATAGCGCATTGCTCGCCCTCCGTCTGGCGTAATCGTTGAAGGATCTCAGAGACGTATTGGAATGAACACTTATCGGCTATAGCGTAGACGACAATGTAGGCGTCCACGTCTTTATCGCGGCACTGAAATACAAAAAATAATATTGATGAAAATAAAAAAAGGAAAAATATGAAATAGTTTGTCAATTATACATAATTTGCATTTGCAGCTGGTGACAATAAGTAAAATACGCTAGGGAATCTGGGATAATAACTAAAGGGGAGTATATGTTTTGCTTCGTTTCGCTGGGCAATATAACATTTTTATATGGGGCACAAGTCTGGAAAATGGCTTGGGTTTTTTTTTTTAATTTTCGATTATGTCTTTGGAGGAGAGAAATGTGCTGGAAGCTTGGGATGAGAAGGAGAGGCGAGAGGTCGTACGTAACCGCCCCCTGGACCCGCCATCGTAACAAGCAGGATATCCGTGATGTGCATTTCCTCAGTTTGCTCACCAGATAAGAACGAAAAACAGAGTTTCATAATTTAGTTCGATAGCTCTGGCTAGGCTTTGACAGAAGAGGGACATGGTCTGGCATTTCCACAGATTTACTGCGCTGATTTGGTCGGTTACCAGGAGAAATATCCTAATCCCTATACCATAGTATGTTTTTTTTCTTCAAGGGTCGTTTTCACACAAAAAGCCTTTAGAGAGAAAGTTGGCTTCAACTTTGGGACCACTGATTTTGATCTACTTATATTCTAGATAAATCCGTAGTACTTTACTAAGATAAGTAACTACTGGACCAAAACATTTGGCATTTATTTGTGTTAATAAGACATCCTCAACAGGCCATTTAAAGGGTAACTACAGAATTTTATTTTGTCAAAGTAGGCTACAATTTGGGTCTTAAAGTATCGACCAACTCCTGTAGGTTAGTGTCTGTGCATTATTTCTCTAGCTTACTGACAGGCATGCAACATACTTTATTTTGCCTGTGGGTTGCAACACTTATTCCCACAAACATTCAGAATCTGTCCAAGAATTACAATCCATGAACCCGGATTTAGTTCCTAGTGTCCAGTTTTTAGCCACCCTAGTAATGGAGACGGGGACTGGTGAATTTCACTGTCGCTGGTAAAAATTAGCCATTTCAAAACTAGAAAAAAACTTTTTATGCATTGTTCTTCTCATAAATACCTTGTTGTAAAAGGAGACTTGTGGAAACTTTTAGGAAAATTAATGTGTTGGTCCATACGGGTGTAACGGGCATTGTTTACCTTTAGCTAAACACAAGCCAGTATAACTCACTGGGCCAGAAAGTCATGTGGACTAATTGTTCACACTAATGAAGTTCACAGTATTTTGTGTTGCTCTTCATTTCTCTAATGTATATTTAATGACTACATTGTCACTATACAGGTACACATACTGTAATGGATTTCTACGATATCTTTTTTTACAGAACATGATTTTTTCCTGCAAAAGGTGCAATACACAGCCTGAATGTAACATAACAGGACACGCATTATGTAATACCAAAATGTTCCAGAGAGAGAGAGAGAGAGAGAGCGAGAGAGAGAAATAGAGAGAGAGACCATTACCTCTTCAAGCGTGGATGTCACGAACTGCATTTCTGTTTCCCGTCCGTCTAAAAGTACTGAAACTGATAGGTCTGAAGTTTTGTTCCCTAAAATACAAAATAAACATATAACTTGCGTTATTCATCAATTCGTAAACTTTATTATATCTCTTTTGTGTCAATAATTACCTGCTTTTTTTAGATTGAATTGAGTGTTATTCAAAACCTCACTGCACCCACCACATGCCCAGGTTTAAATAAATGTCGCCTATGTACACGTATAAATCACGATTATTGTACACCAGGGCACATATGTTGATGTAGATTTTCGATACAAAACGATGTTTTTCCGTCATCTTATTTGCGAAATAGTCTGCATATTTCCCAAAGGTGTCGCCACTAAATTTTCTTTTAGCAGCTTCGAGTTATCGTATTATTACACGCAGTGCTCTGTTCATACGGGCATTACACAATAGTCACAACAAATCCCAGTGAGACCCGTGTAAATCTAGTGTGGCCCACATAGAATAAAGTGCTAGTAGAATAGTGAATAAAAGAGACGACAGACGTAATGATATTAACAGTTCCTTCATATTCCTAAGATTTAGTCCCAAGTTAGTCCCAATACACATTGGCNCCGCTGGGCAATATAACATTTTTATATGGGGCACAAGTCTGGAAAATGGCTTGGGTTTTTTTTTTTTTTTAATTTTCGATTATGTCTTTGGAGGAGAGAAATGTGCTGGAAGCTTGGGATGAGGAGGAGAGGCGAGAGGTCGTACGTACCCGCCCCCTGGACCCGCCATCGTAACAAGCAGGATATCCGTGATGTGCATTTCCTCAGTTTGCTCACCAGATAAGAACGAAAAACAGAGTTTCATAATTTAGTTCGATAGCTCTGGCTAGGCTTTGACAGAAGAGGGACATGGTCTGGCATTTCCGCAGATTTACTGCGCTGATTTGGTCGGTTACCAGGAGAAATATCCTAATCCCTATACCATAGTATGTTTTTTTTCTTCAAGGGTCGTTTTCACACAAAAAGCCTTTAGAGAGAAAGTTGGCTTCAACTTTGGGACCACTGATTTTGATCTACTTATATTCTAGATAAATCCGTAGTACTTTACTAAGATAAGTAACTACTGGACCAAAACATTTGGCATTTATTTGTGTTAATAAGACATCCTCAACAGGCCATTTAAAGGGTAACTACAGAATTTTATTTTGTCAAAGTAGGCTACAATTTGGGTCTTAAAGTATCGACCAACTCCTGTAGGTTAGTGTCTGTGCATTATTTCTCTAGCTTACTGACAGGCATGCAACATACTTTATTTTGCCTGTGGGTTGCAACACTTATTCCCACAAACATTCAGAATCTGTCCAAGAATTACAATCCATGAACCCGGATTTAGTTCCTAGTGTCCAGTTTTTAGCCACCCTAGTAATGGAGACGGGGACTGGTGAATTTCACTGTCGCTGGTAAAAATTAGCCATTTCAAAACTAGAAAAAAACTTTTTATGCATTGTTCTTCTCATAAATACCTTGTTGTAAAAGGAGACTTGTGGAAACTTTTAGGAAAATTAATGTGTTGGTCCATACGGGTGTAACGGGCATTGTTTACCTTTAGCTAAACACAAGCCAGTATAACTCACTGGGCCAGAAAGTCATGTGGACTAATTGTTCACACTAATGAAGTTCACAGTATTTTGTGTTGCTCTTCATTTCTCTAATGTATATTTAATGACTACATTGTCACTATACAGGTACACATACTGTAATGGATTTCTACGATATCTTTTTTTACAGAACATGATTTTTTCCTGCAAAAGGTGCAATACACAGCCTGAATGTAACATAACAGGACACGCATTATGTAATACCAAAATGTTCCAGAGAGAGAGAGAGAGAGAGAGCGAGAGAGAGAAATAGAGAGAGAGACCATTACCTCTTCAAGCGTGGATGTCACGAACTGCATTTCTGTTTCCCGTCCGTCTAAAAGTACTGAAACTGATAGGTCTGAAGTTTTGTTCCCTAAAATACAAAATAAACATATAACTTGCGTTATTCATCAATTCGTAAACTTTATTATATCTCTTTTGTGTCAATAATTACCTGCTTTTTTTAGATTGAATTGAGTGTTATTCAAAACCTCACTGCACCCACCACATGCCCAGGTTTAAATAAATGTCGCCTATGTACACGTATAAATCACGATTATTGTACACCAGGGCACATATGTTGATGTAGATTTTCGATACAAAACGATGTTTTTCCGTCATCTTATTTGCGAAATAGTCTGCATATTTCCCAAAGGTGTCGCCACTAAATTTTCTTTTAGCAGCTTCGAGTTATCGTATTATTACACGCAGTGCTCTGTTCATACGGGCATTACACAATAGTCACAACAAATCCCAGTGAGACCCGTGTAAATCTAGTGTGGCCCACATAGAATAAAGTGCTAGTAGAATAGTGAATAAAAGAGACGACAGACGTAATGATATTAACAGTTCCTTCATATTCCTAAGATTTAGTCCCAAGTTAGTCCCAATACACATTGGCGGAAGTACTTTAAGTACATTCACCGTTCTTTCTGTTTTGTGGAACTTAATTATATGTTTTGCATTGCTAATTTTTAAGGTATGGTCAATTACTATGCTTTTTGGTGAGAATGGTACGCATTTGACCACAATCAGTTTCAACACATTTATCTATCCTGAAATTCTGGATATTTATACTAATGTATGCATCTGATCATTCTGGCGATCTTAATACCAATTTTAAAATACCAATGTGTGCACCTTTTGAAATGTTAAAAAGGACTTCACTTTTGACTGATTTTCCTTAAATAATTTGAAACTGCTCATGATATATCAGCGTAGTTAATTTTTAATTACTTAAAAGACTCATATCACTCAATCTGTACATTAACCACCTGTCTTTACAACGGTTTGTACATGTTGAATTAAGTGACGCATGGGTCTTCTAAGGAGTTTCTATCTGTTCTATCAGACCACTATCGGTTTCAGTTCCTGGTTTTCTCTAAAAACACACACAAGCACTTCTCCGTGTATTATGAATGTTTAACAATAATATTCCTATTTCGACAGAGTCTCTGGCAAGCACGTGTTAGGGGTGCCCCCATATTCGGAAATAGAAATTTCTGGAAACTTACATGTTCATCTAACATCAGTATACCTCTGTTCATGTGACCGCTGAAACCCAGAGCGTGACTGGTAACGGCATGTAGATGGTAGCCTTCAATTCCCATTTATCCCATTTATCTCTGAGGCGCGGGACAGGGGTGGAACAACAAGGGGGCGCTTCGGAGAAGCAGCTTCAATCATATAATTTCTCATTGGTCAAAAGAAATAATTTGAAGAGCTATAGCCATGATGTTTAAAAATAGGAGCTGAGAATCCTGTGTGGATCCACTGTGGGTCCCTGTTGAGTATGTCTGTGGGAACGGCTATTTGAGTATAAGTGGGACACCCCAAAATGGGTTGTAGCCTGTTAGTGCTTGGACCTTAATCGGGTTTATATGAGAAGTGCTTGCATGCGATCCTAGGTACGAAGCAGTTAGTACCCCAAGTCCAATGGGGGTGGGGGCATAAGACTATCATCAGCAACCTAAAAATCATTAACAATTCAGCTTCGGGTCTAAGTTTCTTTATAGAACTGGCACCAGTAGGAATAGGCAATTCTGAGACTTATAAAAACAACGCGTTGTAATGCAGGATGTTTTACTGCATAATGTACAGTATGCTTCGAATTTATGTCAAACTGTCTCTTCATTATGTGCATGCGTGTGTAGGTTACAACATCAACGTATAAGTGTAGATACATGTAAGTCATCTATAACTCTATATGTTTAAATATTCATTTGTCTTGTACACGCAATTTGAAGGTATCAATGTGCAGAGTTAATAGACAAAGATAAAAGGCACCGTTGTAACACTGGGATTAATAGCATGTAACCTATGGGTACGTACCTTTGACAAAAGAAAAGTTAATTAAAACGCACAAGTAGACAATCTTGTATGTAGTGCTCACGGTTAAGACCGTAATTGGAGGTTTATGGGAATGGTAATGAAATATATATGTTTACAACCTAAAGATCATTAACACTCGGTGGTTCAACCCCGACTCATATATTTGACCATATTACGTGTGTGGCTTGACGCAAAGAGGCGGTATAGGGGCAGTTTATTGCTTAAACTTTAGCATTGCGGGTCAGTACATTCCCAATGTGCAACAAGTCTGGAAATCAAATGCACAGTGTCTGGACAGAGAAGAAACTTGTTTCACCAACGGTTTGGTCCATACTCTGTCTTTTGGGTCAAAGCATTATTACGTATGGCATGATATAAAGGACGGAAACTCATACAGGGATTAAACCCTTTACGCCCAACGTAGGCCTACATGATCACCTCTATGTAGCTAACACATTAGAGCGTCTACAAAAATATAAAAAGCACTGTGTTCCCACTTAATCTAAAACATACATTCTGTAAACTAGCGCCAACAGTAGTCATACGATATTAACCTTTTGGTAGAAGGTCGAGGTGATTTACAACATATCCCGCACCTCCAACGTAACAGGAGGCCTATAGCGTGAAATTTAACGGCAACCTTTCCCCCTCTAGCCTATAACATTTTAAAACTTATAGGAAATAAATAAGAAGTTGAAAGAGAGCAGCCATTTACACGAAAAATCAGCTAACTACTTCTGTCCTGCAGCTGAGGCCATACTTATGATTTGCCTTGTCAAAAAAACCTGGAATGCCAAAAGTGGTAACATGTGGTAAGCTGTACGTTCATCTGCTCTCAAGGTCAAACCCTGTTGAAATATTTGGCGTGGAATAAGTCGAGTCTTTCATCAAACTGATCTAACGAAGTTTGATATGCACAAGAGATCACAATGAATGTGACTCTCGTCGAATAAAACCATCAGCGCGATGATGTAGTTGCCCAAAGGTTTAGTGAAAGCTAACCGCTCATCGCCCGACGTGCGGCGTAAACGCAGCTTATGCATTTTTTTGTTATCTCAGTGGGTAGGCCTATATTTCGATTTAATCAAACCCCATAAATGGGTATCTGAACAGCATGCACCAATGGGGAACATGCATCTAAAAATTTTCGATTAATTTTTCGCTGTTTATGTAAAGCGGCACAGCGGTTGTATAAATGCATAGGGTTTCTATGTGCTTCGGGAACATTTTAGCGGTTTCCATGCAACTCGGATATTTAAAAGATGTCCTTTCCGATTTGAAATATAAAGCGGAATGACGCTTCAAAGACGTATTCTACTGTGGTTGAAATGTAAAAAGTACGGAAAGAGATATTTTTGTCTGATTGCTTATCAACGTTAACACTGTGGCTGTACCTAATGATTCAAGTTACACTTCTGGCAACATGCGCGATTTTGAAATATTAACAACCCTTACGATGCATTTCTGTGATAGTGAGTAAAGACAAATGTATTGCACGTATATAATATTACAGAATATTTTATCAGTGAATGTGACCTACTTGTATTTATATTATCACACTTTTGTCTTGTTTATGTCTGTCTGTTTTGCTTAATGCCTACTTGTCTCTCTGTGCTGGTATGTCTAGCTGTCCGTTTTACTGTCCACCCACATCAGGACCCGTCTATTTATTTTACTGACCAGTAAAATGTAACCTATTCGTAAACGAACTAGGTTTCTGGAAAATAGTAAAGTACGTCTTCTTGTCTGTTTGGTCTGTCATCTTGTTGACATGGACGCTTGCGAATGTGTATACCAATTATTTTGATTGCTTGCTAATCATCAGTACTATATGACGTACTAATAGGAAAATAACTTGGACTATCAAGGAATCCGATCAACCAGCAGCTTATAAACTAAGCTTCTTTCGAATGATTCACAAATTGGTAGAATTATCTGAGCACCCATTTGCGGTATCGCTACTCTTACACAGCAACACACACTAGCTAATTTTAGGAAATAATGACAAAAGAGAAGCAATTGACAGTCGCACTGTTGTAAATTAATCCCAAAACTTCGTGATGTGGTACACGTATTTACGTCATGACAGATCCAGAGACATTGGCTCCGTCTCGTGGCTTTTCTCTTTCAGCAAAAGCAATGCCGAAAACTCTTTGAACGAATCTCTATAAAATAATTCTGACTGACGCAAACAATGTCATTCCTTCCTCTCGAGTTTCAAACATTAAAGCAAATTTCACTGAGTCTCTGCACGAACTATTCCAGGACATTGTTCTTTATACGTCATATATTTCGTGCCACTTGTTAATTTAAAGTGTACATGAATATTACTCAGGTTGATTGACTAATTTCACTCCTAATTTAAGGGGGTAGACAAAGGTAAACGAAGCACCTGATGCAAATTGTAATTATCCAAAAACCCAAATAGCTTTAAGGACGAGGGAGGGAGGGAGGGGGAGGGTGATGGGAGATGGGAGAGCGGCTTACGCGTACCCCTGTGCCTTTGTTTATGTGCGTCTGAGTGTGTATCTGTTTATGTGTGTGTGTGTGTGTGTGTGTGTGTGTGTGTGTGATTGAGTGACTGTGTGGGGGTAGGTGGCAAACAATGCGATCTGAGGAACAAACGTTAAGCAATAGCTTTGGAATAAGACTCGCCTTAGCTTGAAAATATGGTGGATGTTATGTTTGTCGATAGAACAAAATTACTGACGTCAAATCTATAATCCGCCATTACACCATGGGTCCCATTACAGTAAGTAATCTAAACGTTTTAAGAGATGGAGACACTGATGTTTTGATAAGACTGCCGAAAGCCACGTTATCATTAGTACATGTACCACCAGAGAGGCGTTTGGTTCAGCGTATAAGGCAATGTATTTCGGGACAGAGCTTTATCCTGCCATATGCAATCTTCACACCTTTTTATTCTAATTCTGTAATGATAAATCCTACATTACAAGTCTTATAGTGCAGATGCTCTAAATAATCGTCAGCCATTGTTCGGACTAACTGGAAAGGAAGCATAATAGGCACTTAATTTAATTATCTATCGAAAAAAAAGCCCGTTGCTTTTCAATTATCTCTAAAGCTTTATACCATCCCTTGTGACAGTTGGACTAGGAACCATGTGTTCAACGCAATTTAAAAAACCCTCGTGTGCCTTTTTTTACGTCTTGGTGCTCATCAAATACACACACAAGGGGGAGAGAGAAGAGAGGGGATTTAAAAAGAGAGATATATATGAGCAGGGAAGCTCAAAGCTACATAACTAAATGTTAAACCACTTTTATTGCCCAACGGTCACTTTCTTGCTTTCCCTACAAGCCGAATGAGGTGACCAACATGGTCTTGGACGTCAAACATATTCGATATTATATTGATCGCTTTGTCACATACATCGTTCTTTGCTAGCAGAGGGCATTTAGTCTGTATACTTTATCTTTTAATTTGTCCTAATTGAAATATAGGGAAAAAATTGGATTCTAAACAGGAATTGGTGAAGGGCAGCACGTGATCTGGTTTCATGATAAAATGAGGTTTGCGTTCCATACCTTACTCAATAGATAATAAGAAAAACATGCGGGTAATTAGAAGATCAAAGGATATAGATATCAGCTGTATTGCCTGCATGTACATACAGGTGGTACATTGAACGCTGTTTTATTTGCCTTTTCACAAACAAAAATAAGCACACACACACACACACACACAGAGAGAGAGAGAGAGAGAGAGAGGATATGATTTATTGGCGGATGCCAAGATGTGTTGCGTAGCATCAGTAGAAGATCTAAGATGCATATTTCTAGCTGGGGTTTCCTAACGGATTTCCTGTATCTGATAATAGACTGAGGTTGTCGTAGGGCAATAATGAAATCAAAAACGAAAGCATATGACTAGACTAGACCGCTTGCAGCATCAATTTTATGTACCTGTAGTAACATTTGCAGAACCGCATAACAACCCTTTTCACTATTAAGTGACGTCGACCTGTATTTCGTGTACTTTGAGTTTCAAAAACACTGGCAGATCTAGGATTTTTGGCGTGGAGGGTAGGACAAGGGAGATGGGATTGGGGTGTGTGTGAGAGAGAACAGGGTGCCATAGAAGCTAAAGAATAGCCTTGTGCCCCATTGCGCCCGCTCCACCGGATCTACCGTTAAATTGAGGCCCGAGACAGACCCTGGGAACCAATACTTTTGTTCAATGAATTGTACGAGTTTGAGCATTTCTGTAGTTGGCTATCGTTGAATTGCTGATATTCACCGATCCACGCCATTATTCGCGGTTTGCAACAATACGCCATGCAAAATTATATACGAAAACCCGTCTGTTGACAACTGATCACTTTTTATGTCACGCGTTGCAACTCGTGTTCTTTAATTGGCGCAATCAAACTGGCAATCGAGGCAATTGGCAATGATTCATCTGCACGGAGCTTTATGGCGTTAATTTTACTGAATCGCTTGATAGGTTCTTTCTTTTTAGACACGTTTCTTCTTCAATAATTGCTTCATGTTTCATTACGAAACATGTCGTAGAAGAGACATCTCGTTTTGAAGCCCTGTAAATGCGATTTCCAAAGACCTTTTTGCCATACAGTGTTACCATTAGTTCCAGAGGGTATTGATTTTATTGGGTATGCCAATTACAATTACGCGCATTTGGTTAAAATGAACGTCTTTTACATGTAGGCAATCTACTAATGGCGCGAGTGTGACGATGGAATGCATTGCAATCAACAATTTAAGGAGGCGACGTACAACATTTCCATTGTTTAAAATGCTCATATCCTTTACTGATACCCAAAGGTATCATACGGCCTGTTAAGTAATGAAAGTGAAACCCCCTCATTTCGCGAATCAAATACTGACGTTTTGCCAGTTTACATGTATCTCGTGCAATCATTTGCACGCTGTGTCTGGAATACTGTTCCAATCTCAACAAAAACGTTCACTGCCAAGAAATAATGTTCACGCTTAAGCCATGTTGATGCTGTACAAGAGAAACACACTTGATCTACATATACAGAGGCGTTCGTGACAAATGTAGTTTAATATATGATAGCTGCAATAAGTTTTTCCACGGCCATGAATGTCGTATGAAATAACACTCAACCCATAATTGAGTCACCTATCNTTTTTTACTTAGACACATGCTAATAGGAAGGGTCAATCTCCTCGTCGATATTTTCCCCTCTGGAAACAAAAATGTACCTACTTTCTGATCAGATCCTTTCGGGCAGTGTTTGAAAAATCTTTGGCGAGGGCATTTGCACCCGCGAGCTTCGTACACTTGTTGCTGCTGCATTTTATTTTCAGTACAGAATTATCGATGGGCAACAAATGTGTTTTCTAACGCACATTTCCTATTGAACTCATGCGTATGACATACATTTATCAACCATTTCCTTGCGGCAAAAGTGTCTTTTGTGCACAGATGAGCATAATCTTTTGACAAATAGATCAAAATATACTGCTGTGTTGGAAGATGAAAGTATCAGATTGGGTACAATTGACCTAGGCAAAGAAAGCATTTTACAGGTGCTGTCCTTTCTTGTGAAAATCCAATTTATGTAAACAGCCTATATATATCGCGATGTCCTATTTACAAAAACCTTAATGATAACTTGAAATTACTTAATGGTGATACAGATAATATTATATATAACATAAATGACTATGAATAATGTACCTCCCCAAAAAGACCCACTAATATAGACACAGTGTAAAAATGAATTAATTAAAGAAATAATGAATCTCAAAAAAGGAACCGCTAAAATGTGTCTGTGTTTTCGATCGCGCTTTCTTTTGTTCTCTTTTAATCATACTCCAAAAGGAGTACAACTGCATAACGACAAATGAATTTATTTCACCGATGCCTTTTGGATAAAAGTGTCCAATGCTTGACCGATTTTAAGTATAACTTCGTCAGCCTAGAGCACAAAGTCAATTAACTTACCCGAATGCGTTCCCCTTGCAGCCACGTCTTCGGAAGTCGTAAACTGTCGCACCAGGGACATTCTTCCTACTCCAGGGGTCCCCAGGACCGCCACCCTGAAGACACGGTCTGCCGCTGTGCTTGACGTTCGACTGTCGCGTGGCGATGCACGTGGCGAAACCGGCGGTTCGTCGTCTGCGAAAACACTGTCACTGCTTTCACCGGTTCCCAGCGTCGGCTGAGGGAGAAGCACCCTACGTTTGTAGGAGTCCCCCCTGTTGAATAAACCCTTGCGTGAAACTGTGAAATTTCTGACTCGGTAAAACTCCCCTCCTGCATCATCCGAGATGTGCCCTTCGTCGTCTATGTCGTACGCGTCCGGCAGACTGTTGCGCCTTTTCTGGCACGTTTCACGGGGCACTTCAAGGTGTCGTCTGCTGGGTTTTCTGCAGGACTGCGACCGCCACGTCGGCTGCTTTCTTTGCAGACGGGTCGCAGGTAGCAGGGGGCTGCGACTTCCAGAGCCGCCAACACTCCCGTGATGCGCCCGCCTTATACCCGGCGACAAGCCGAGTCTCTCCCGCGCTGAGTACTGCGGCGGTGCCAGGCTGTCGGCGCTGGAGGACGATCCGCGACTGGAATTGGGACTGTGTTCGACAACCACCCCCTCGTCGACGCTTGGTCGTGGTGAACGTTTCCGAGAGCGATCACTGCCGGAGCGTGAGACCGGGCGAGACATGACAGGAAAAAAATGTTCACAACGGCTGTCAGCTTCCTCGTGCACAACCAGTATTCAGTGTTTTACTACTCTTAGGAAGCGATCTGTTCTCGCTGCGCTGCCAGAGCTCGATCTACCGTTACACGGCGAACATTGAGTACTTAATGCTGCGGGTAGCTTAACCATGACCTTTCGCAGATAGATAGTGACGTAGATATATGTCAATCGATACTACATAATTTTTTCAATTAAATGTTGTTTAAGCGTCCTGCCTCGTCTACGTAAGCCAATACCAATCCGTTCCAGTAAGCTCAGGGCAATCGGGGTTTATTAGGAATATAATTCTCGTGATTTGGGGCGATGGTATCTCTAATTTAAGTTACTTCGTAAATGATTGAAGGAAAGAATGTGGGAAAAGGAACAGATAGCCGAGGCAAATTGCGTTAGAGAATCAAGCAAACTGCGTCATAAAATTGTTTTATTACTTGGATATTGAGTCCTCCACAGGCAAAGAACTCCCATCTGTAGACGTACAAAGGTATAAAAGATATGGAAAAACTTTTTTTACCAATAAAGGTTCATAAAATCAAAGATTAATAATAAAAACCAACCACTTCATTGGATTTTGTGTAGTAATACAAATGAAATTCATATTGTAATGATCTTTCCAGGCTCCGACCGTTTATCCTGAACCTCTGCAGCGATCAAATGAGCAGAAAAACACAATACGGACAACAGACAAAGGTAATGTAAGAATATATAGAAAATACACTGAGTTTTTGTAAAACATGAATACATACCCTGTATCGGTGTTCTTCGCATTAAAGATCTTGTTACTTTCCTGGAAGCAAATTTCATGAATAATAGTTGATATTGATATCACTGAACTTTTCTTAACCTCATGGTCTTGACATGTCTAAGTTGGGAAAATTGGTGTCGTCTTTAATGTCAACCAGAAGGCAGGATCTGTGACATATACAATTAATACACCGCGTTTATAGGGAATCCATTATTAATTTGCTTTATTGTATTATATTACCGAGGGCGTCTGTAACCTGAGACTTGTGGCGTGTTAAGGAATCTAGTGGTCGTCTGGGAATGGCATTGGGAAATCCTAGTTCAGTATCCACTGTTCGTCACATTACATAAATGTGTGGCCAAATGTCTGATTCTGTATGATGCAACAAAGTAAAAATTCTAAATTGCCCCACTTTTGTCATATCTAAAATATTCAGTTTATATTTGACCTGTGGGGTTGCCGGACGTTAATGTGGGATTTAATGAGCATGATTCTCAAACGAGAAACGAGACTGGACCTCTTGTTTCTGGTACCTCGCAGCCATCTTAACATGATGTCGCCAAGCTTGGTTTAATATTAGATTACCCAAGCTTAAAGTTATTCTATTAAAATAAATAAAGCACTACAATCAATAAAATCCTGGTATTCGTCTCACCCATAGCACTAATCCAATTATTTCAATGACTTTAAACATTGAGATATGAATATTTTCTAAAATTTTAAACCAGTCAATAAATATATATGAAGAATTTGCATAACAATATGTGGATAAGTCCAGTAAAAAGCAAGAAAGAATCAAATTCGTCAAACACAGGCTTTTAAAGCCGAATGACCGTTCATGAGCTCGAGCCGGGGGTTTGTGATTGCAAGCACCGAATAAACGGGCCAAACCACGATTTTATGGAACGAAGGAAAAAAATCCTTGCAATCACGAATCGTACACACGCTCGCCTTCCCGTTTGGTACGTTCTGTCTGTATCAGAGAGAGTCGAGAGGGCATTATCCCTTTATTATATACGCTGTATGAATTGTAGATTACAGAAATACATCGGTTTTCCCGTTTCTAATATACAAATGGGAAATACATGTATTTTTTATTTGAAAATCATCGGCTGTTTTAACATACGGTATTATGACTCATAGCTCTTCGTTACGTCAAATGTATCACGACCGAACACTACTGCGTGCCTAAAATATGTATGACTCAACACGGAGTGTCTGGTAATAATGAATTTCCATGCAGGACTCTCGAGAGAAGGAATTCGTTTGTCGTTTAAGAAAACTTCATTAACACAGAAGAAGAGCAATGACCCGTGGTTCAAGCCGGGTGAAGAGCAGTTTTGTACGAGGTGTAAATGTAAAATCTTTCTGCTCAATTATTGTTTATCCAGGCTTCTCAATAATTGGGGAATGACCAGATGTTTCCCATAGTTTTGTATTTTTCAACATCAAATGTTTCATCTGTACTGTTAATCGTTATATGTTTTCAAGTATTTATACACGTAGTTTAACAAACAAAGAGAATTGCTGTAATTTACCTGTAGTGATGTATAACACCCCATTTCCATACATTAGATCGACCTACTTTAGATCGACCTAACTCCCTGGGGGTTCACGCTAAATAGCTGTCAGCCGGGCGGACACGAAAGTTAATTACACCCTTACAGCTTGTAGTAGGCGGGACGGACATTTAAGTCGGATTATCTGAAAGTAATCTAGTGAGACTCCCCGCGGGGATAGATCGATCTAAAATCTATGGGAATGCGCCCATAGTCTTGGTATGTGTAGTTCTTATCAAGTACATGTAAGCATGAGCTTAAACGTTAAAACGGACAACTATAATATCATCTTTAGAAAAAGTTAAGTATATTGCAATATGGAGGTTCACAGTCCTGCAGTTCGTTGCTATGGATGAATAGTTATATATTTACGTACACAAACTTTCTAGTTTACCGACAAAGCAGTGCGCTGTCATTTAACATTAATTTATTTTCGTCTACTGTGAACCCTGAGTTTCACTTGTCACCGGAAACTCACCATGAATATAAATCGCATTCAGAACAGCGGACTTACAAATCCGCGGATGAAATATGGCAACTCACTTGAATGATTGTCACGTAATCCCCGCGGGGAATCTATTCAGTGTCTAATCGGGAATTAGGAGGCAAAGTTTTTAATAGGTGGCCATATTTGATCCGCAGATCTGTTAGTCCGCTGTTATGAATGCGTTCATAAACGCACCTCTGCGTATTACCGGACTTGAAAAGTTTCCAGTAATCTCTTATACCCTGGGTGCTCGAGAGTGCAGCAACCAAAATTCTGAGACGCTGAATTAGTTACAAATTGCGATGGCAATGTTTCAGTGATGCTATTAAATATAAAAAGAATAAAAAAAATGATATTAGCAATCGCAACCAGTCTATAAATGAGTGATGGGTTTACTAAAAACTACTGCAAGGGTCAAATTAATTTCAACTGCGTCTTGGGATTTGCCATTGTTTTGCCCTGGGCAATCACGAGTTGTTTTTGCATCGTCTTTAGCAAAACTTAAAATGAATTGCCAAACCACCGAATATTTTGACGAGGTTCTTCTTTCCAGTTCAGAAATAACATTGCCCTTATGTTTACATGGCGAGATGAGATACCAAAATAGCCATCCACGAGGAATTAACGATGAATTAAATCAATGTTATGTTTTTTCAAGCGGTTAGGCACCCCTAGACATTAGGTGATTTATGATGCTTTTATCTGGGTGCGAATCTGGCACTTACAACCTGCGTTTCAGAGGTTACTGGAACATAAACGCTATTGTCTACACGCCTTATGCGGTCCTTCTTTTATTGGCAGAGTTAGATTTTCATTTCTAGTAATCTTGGTTACTCGGGGTGTACATTTGGAGCATATTGAAAACTACTGACTAGTCTGGAAGTTACTCTCGGCCTCTTGTCCACAATGCAGTATGATCCATGAGCTATGGGTAATTAAAAGGTATTACAACTGTTCGTTTTGGTCTAAAAACGGATTTTCCTGGGATAAAGGACGATTTTCCCGCACTAACCAACATTTAAGGAATCCGTTCGGACATTCAAAGTTAGTCCATGTTTTTTTCTGAAAAGTGTGTATTTTTGTAATATTCTCCTAAGAGAATGAAGGTCTACCCGGTCTATATATATATATATATATATATCTGATGGCAAGCACAGATTTCAGAATAATTGCCATAACCACAGAGAGAGAGAGAGAGAGAGAGAGAGAGAGAGAGAGAGAGAGAGAGAGGGAAGACTGAATACAATATCTTATATATACATGTACAATCAATGTAGGTTATTGTTTACAACACATTCCTTCACAGCGTGAAAATTCATGCGTTCTGATATCAATAACTACCTATATAATTAAATATTTGTATGGGATAATAGTCGCCTAAGTGAAAGAGCATGAGCAAATAATGATGAAATCATTTCCATAATTACAAAAATTTGTGCTATGTACTGTTTTGTCAGTGGCTTGAGAAATAAACTGATACTTTTCCAGACAAACAAATTAACGATCCAACTGTAACCAGACGAAATATTGGATGGAATGAAGTATTAGTTTAGGTTTCAAGTAAGGTTATTTACAAGCGTTTACATTTTTGGAATCGTTTGTAATGATGAAATGCCGTTAGAGTGGTTGTTACATGTAGTTGACCAAATGAAAAATAAATATAGAAAATTGGTAAAAGCAAAAGAAAGTGGAAGTAAGGGTATATTCGGCTTGAAGGGTTGGATATGACTTGTGTTATTATTGGAAAGATATTAAATTAAAAGTCCGAGAGAGAGAGAGAGAGAGAGAGAGAGTGGAGGGAGAGAGTGGCGAGACAATATCACAAACACGTACGTGGACGAACTTCTTCAACCTTCAGTTGGTTTTATTCTGGAGTACCTTGCTAATAACCTTATTAAGAGACAAACAGCATGAACTACATCATCTAAACAACATTGAGGTACCCTGCTTCACAGAATACCTTATCACCACAAATCGCAGGATATTTGGATAGACTGGAACAAAGCATTGGAGGCAATGGCGGTTAATAATTCCGCAAACCGACAGGTACTTTAGTACTATCTGGTTGAAAAATGGAACGATAAAAACTAGAGTTTTAAAACACTCCTGGTTTCCTGGACGATTGTCATATCGTTCATTGTCTATGATATTGGACGGTTGTTCTCGTAATCAGTATTACCTGTTACAGCAGGTGATAAAATATTTTATGGGCAAGGTGAACTTTTTTTGATTGATAGAAACTGTTATACTTGTCGACGATATAACTCACATGTTCTGGTGCATTATTAAACCTGAAAATTAATGTAGGGACGAAAGTTAAAGAGATAACAGCTCTTCGTACGAGATTCAAAATTGCACAATAAAAATGCAAACAACACATAAAGATATAATAAATTCATTTTACCACCGAAACTGTGGTTATCGCAATTATTCTGAAATCTGTGCTTGCCATTGGACCACGTGAACCTTCATAGATGGTTATACTCTGGAATAATCTAAAAAAAGATTATTAAAATAAACACACACACTCACACACACACACACACACACACACAAACAATCAACTTACTTTGAATGTCGGAAGGTACCAATGGTTAGTATGGGAACATCGTCTTATACTCCAGGAAAATCTATTTTAGGACACTTTTCCCGCCAAAGTGAAGAGTTGTTACCCTTTTAAGCATAAAATTTTGTTTTGAGTATTTTGAGTATAATATCGATAAAGTTATAAGTAGTTTGAAAAAAAATTCAAAATTTGGTACACGGCATCTTCTTTGACTGCACTACTGTAAACACATGTATGTAACTGCAAGCCGTCTGTAACCTCGGGCAAAGTAATGTAGAAATTTCTAATTAAATTGATCAAATTCAGTTCAAGAAACTCAACAACAGTAGCTCTGACGTAGATACCACCTAATACAATATCTCATATTGTCAGTTTAGCTAGGTTGTTAAGGTCGACAACACATTCCTTCACACGCGAAAATTCATGTGTCCTGACATCAGTAACTGCCTATATAATTACTGTCCTCAATAAGAATCTGCTCGAAAGACAGCTTATTAAGACTATCAAATATGGCCAAGACGTAGATGCAATACAAAAGTGGCTGTAATAGGTACAGACAAACCCGTGCATTGACGCAAAAGCGAGATGAAATGGTGACGTTTCGCTATTTGACCATCAGAGTCGCGCGCATCCCATCGTGAGAAGATTAGATTGTCCGAAATCTTCTTTACAGCTTATTGTCAACGTCTATTAATCTTAATCGTAGGAACTTGATTATCAATCAATTTAACATATTAAGCAAGGTTGAATTTTGAATAGTGACACACTAATTTGCTACAACTCTTGCTGCGAGGTGTGCCTAGACAGGCTGCATTTTCTTCTCTAAAACTATACTGTGTCTGTATTTGTGTCTCCGATGGGAAGCACAGATTCCAGAAAAATTGTGACAACCTCTGTTTTGGCGGTGAAAATTGGTAAAAGCAAAAGAAAGTGGAAGTAAGGGTATATTCGGCTTGATAGGTTGGAGATAACTTGTGGTATGATTTGAAACATATTAAATTAAAAGTCCGAGAGAGAGAGATGGCAAGACAATTTCACAAACACGTACGTGAACGAACTCCTTAAACCTTCAATTGCTTATTCTGATTTTATTCAGGAGTACCTTGCTTGTAACCTTACTCAGAGACAAACAGCATGGATTGGGTCGTCTAAATAACCGTGAGGTACCCTGCTTAACAGAATACCTTATCGGCACTAATCGCAGGAAATTTGGATAGACTCGAACAAAGCATTGGAGGCAATGGAGTTCACGAAGCTCAACAACAGTAACTCAGTAGCTCTAACGTAGATACCACCTAATACAATATCTTTTATTTTCAATTTTGGTTGTTGTTAAAGTCGACAACACATTCCATCACGCGTGAAAATCCATGTGTCCTGATATCAGTAACTGCCTAGATAATAGAACTGCCATCAATAAGAGTCTGCTCGAAATAAAGCTGATTAAGAGTATTAAATATGGCCAAGACGTAGATGTATGACAAATGTGACGGTAATAGGCACAGACAAACCCGTGCATTGACGCAAAAGCGAGATGAAATGGTGACGTTTCGCTATTTAACCATCAGAGTCGCGCGCATCCCGTCGTGAGAAGATTAGATTGTCCGAAATCTTCTTTACAGCTTATTGTCAACGTCTATACATCTTAATCGTAGGATCGTGTGATTATTAATTAATTTAACAAGTTGGGTTGAATTTTGAACAGTGGAAGACGTGTTTGCCATGACTCTTGCTGACTCCTGGTGTGCCTTAACAGGCTGCATTTTTTCTATAAAACTATACTTCGTCTGTACTTGTGTCTTTGTTAACTCGAGAAAAATAAAAAGACCAACATATATCTGAATTTTGGAGTTCATGTAAACTTGCATTCCATTAACACAAATGAAGGATTCTTTTAAAGGACTACGAGAAAAATCTGAGTGCCAAGGTCTGGTCGCAAAACGTTCACGCCCCGCCACATTGGATTTAGCATAAAATAATGTAGATTTACAGTAAAAAAAATTAAAGGCATACTTCAATTCGCTTTTATACTATAGTATAAACAACGTCTGGTAGTGAACCATTGATAGTTGTTATAGTTTGGATGTGCTTTGCATATTTATTCCGACAAGTTTATTTAAAATGTATCTACAATTTTAAAAGCTTTAATGTATACAGATGTGTATGTTGCAAGTTGCATGTCAGCGAGGAAAGTAAATTTAAAATGCAAGCTGTTATAGATGGAAGGTGTGGAATGCATGTGCAATTAAGTTTTAATTTATTCAGAAGAATATAGCATGGCAGGTTACGTGTCAGTTATGGAAGTTAATTAAAAATCTAAATTAAGAGCCACACAGAAGGAGACAGATAGCTAGATGGACAGACACACTTATAGTTGCAGAGACCTGAGTTTTGCAGTTAAATAAACTATGTAGCAGGAAACTATATCTGCCTGTCTCAGTTGACTTATTGGTGAAAAACAACGGAAGAACCTGAACAACTAACAGGCTGGTTATTACAGTCTTCTGTCCAGCGAAATTCAAAATATGCTAACATGAAACCAATACATCCACGGTAACTGAATGAAAATTTATGATTATAGGGCTAGCTCAAGCTCTCTGTGACACGCAATCTTGTCGTTTATCATCATTTAGTGATAATTTGGTGAACGCCAAAATTTGCCCCTGGAAATTAATACCATGCTTTCCGAACATTCGAACAAATCGACGTCACACCGTGGGGCCTTTTGAACAAAAAGTCCACGTACATGGGCTATGCCTAGAGAATGCTAAAATCAGATAGTCAACTACGCAAAGCCGACTTAGAGGCATTGGTCTAAAAACGTCAGAGAATGTTTGACCCACAATAAGTGCAATTGACCAACCTAGATCAGCTACTGACACCAATGAGAGTTATAACTTTTACCAAGATAATCAAGATCGCTATAGGGGTTGAGTAATTAAAGGTCTACATCCTTTCTGAGACCGCTGTGTCTCAATCGAAATAGGGTAAGATTCAAAACATAATTGTAGACACAGTTTCTGTGGGCATTAAGTACTGTCCAATTGCAACTCGAGATTAATATCAATTTATTTCAGGAGTCTTTGTTCATATTGGAGTAAGACTACGGTACATGCTTTGGTTATCAATGATCAGAATTATTCCCCTCATCACCAAGCCGTAGCCATATCCAATACCAATTTTATCTATTAATCGGCGTTTGTAGGTTTCTTATTTCAATATAGCCAGTCTCGAAATGTGGCTGGAATGTGGTTAATTTAACTAGCGTCCATTATGACGGAAAATATAATAACTTATGAAGGAAACAATGGTTGTGCACAGTACATTGTAATATTTGAACGATTCTGGACAGTGTACACCTTGGTGTTGAGATTGAAAGTGCTGAAAGTGCCAGGAAAAAAAAGAGTGCTTTATAATTTAAAAAATTCTAACGTTGATTGTGTTCCTCTAAGACTGGATATCAGAGGTACACCTGCATTTGTGTTCCTCCAAATCCCAATACATCATCAATTAGTAACCAGACCGAGGCTGTTCTAGAAGCGCAGCTGGAATTGGAAAAAGTCTAAGACCCTACCCAACATGTCGTCTAAAACACTGATTAGGCCAAGAAAAAATGGTGCTAAAACCAAAGGTTACACAGAAGGTGTTTACATGAATGACGAGGTCTTCATATTGCAACGAACAGATTTACATTTAAAAATGCGTACTGATTATAATCCCTATATATCAAACAACAGGTTCAGGTCATTTGACAACATGTTGATTCAAATAGCTTAGATGTTAAAACTTGCGGTGAAAAGGCATGGATGGCATAGAGGTGTGTTCACACGGGACCAAAATAAACCGGAAATATGTCTTAGGAGGTGCGTTCAAACGGGATTATAATGAACAGAAAGTCAGCCGGACTCGTGTTATCAGAAGCTGCTTCACGAAGGGACTTAGAGACAGGCAGTTTAATCCAGTGCACGAATCACTATACATGTAAATCAGTAAAAGTACACAATAACAATGACACTTTATGCATAAAAATAACAAAAAGTAATAAACATTTTACTTAATGTCTAAAAATTGATTTTATTGCAATATTATTGCTCTGTTCGCTTAGCTCCAATAAAGTAGAATGTAATGGTAAATTAACACTTTTTGTTCATTAGAATGATTTAAACTATGCTTAGTCTTTCGTATCACTGGAGTTACGAGTCCTATATAAAAGTGTGCAATGCGTTTGAACCAAAAAAAAAAAAAAAAAAAAAACTAACATGAAATCAGACAAAACTGATAATTTGGTAGGCGAGCTGCGGCTCTCTGTAAACAAGATCGGTAGACTAAACCATACATAACCCAATGCGTTTTTCACTAATAAGGAAAAATAGGTGCAAAAAATCTGATGTTCTCAGAATTATTGTCCATTGCGCTATTGAACCGACTCAGATTTTATCTGGCTTAATGTAATGGTAGGATTTGAGAAAAAAAAGCCCGTTGTAGTGTATCTTCTACTGAAAAGCTAGCTCTTGTGGTTATTTGGCATTTGTAACATTACGCTCGTCGAGACTTCGGCAATTTTTACTCGTGGGCGATTTGAAATGTACATAAAGAACCCGGTAGTTTGCATGTATAAATGTTTATTTCAACGAGGAAATTATTTTAAAAAAAACTTAAAGGCTCTCGAATACTTCTCTATAAAGCAAACACCAAAATTTTTCATGTCTCTGCTATTAAATCGTGATATGACATATGTCCCTGTCATGTAACAGGTATCTCATGAACTATAACGCTGTAAGTTTAAACACGTTTCCAAATGCTCTATTTTGGCTCCAATTAGACAAATGCCGCCTCGATAAACTATAATTTCATGTTCATGAATGCCAAGACAGACCCTAAGCCATACACAATAACAGTAAATGTCCAGGCTGATTCTGAGGTAACTCCAGATGTCATTGGTGCTCTTGTTGGGAAAACAGGGTAATCGCCGTCAGTAATATTCAGCTTGAAATTTAACTGCAGGCCCTGCCAAGGAAATATAAATTGCCTTTTAATGTATTTAAAACATAGTAATCATATGCAAAGCTGTAAAATCCGATGTGATTTTTGGGCATTTAAATTCTCATACTATAAGGAAACAAATTTTAAGTGGGAAGGGCTAACTATTAAAAATATATATACATTTTGCTTTAAAAGCTGACAGGGACCCTTGAAAGATACTGAAGAGTCGCTCCGGGAAGGGCCCTAAGATGAGTGTGGTCAAAAAAAGGGATAAAAGCTGTCATTTTCATTTTAAGCAATACTAACGTCGGCGTTATAGTACATGTATCAGTAGTATGCCGTGGTTCCTTATAGGGTACATTGTAAGCTTATTACTCAACTTAATTCTATATCATATCTTAAGGAAGCTGCCCCTCTTGACCCCCCCCCCCCCCCACGTTTCACCCTGCAACCTACAGTGTACATCCCTGTACATGCTTTAGTCATTTACAATGCATTGTTATATAAAATGTCTTTACTCAGGCTCGTAAATGTAGTACGGGGGGCTGGGATGTTGTTGTTACCATTTGAAAAAAATTGCGACGATTAGGGGAGGAGGGGGCACTGACGTGCTTGAAAAATGTGGGTGGGTGGGTGAATGTGAGTTTGGGGGTTCTTATTTAATAAAAAATTATTTAATTTAATAAAAGTTATTTAAAGTTCACTATGTTATACCTGTGTAGAGTTGCAATTTGCGACCACAAATCTCCAACACTGTGGTCTGACGGACCTGAAGGTTCGGCCGAGAACGCAGCTAATGTCATCGCCTCTCTCCATACACCCAGACCATGGTGAACTTGGTGATAGCGGGATGATGTTGTTAGCCTGTGGATCGGCAGTGGAGGTCTTTTCCTCGCACGTCTGAAAGAAAAAAGAAAAATTAAAAAGAAGAAGCAAAAAGACCCTATAAGCTTTGCCTTTCATTATGGAAAAAAACATTTCTTTTAATAAAAGCATCACCGTATTTTAGACAATTGGCAAGCATAACCAGTAACTTCAAAACACAATTCAAAGTAAATCCCTGCGAAGGCTTTCCAAAACAACAGAAAAAATTACCAAATAATTTAACAAAGCATATGCAAACTATGAGATATATAACACTTGACATACTGTAAATCTTCTCTCAAAAATTGAAATGAGTACCTGTAATTTCTGTATGTCTTCCCATGTAGAATCATTGACGGGGTAGAGGTAAAGAGATTCCGGGCTATAAGACTGGAAAATTACTTACATCAGTATATTTTCAACACACGTGACATTCAATATTTCTTATCAAACGAAATAACATTTGAATAGACAATTTGCAAGCTTTAAAGTTTTGAAGGAATATATTGTATATTGTCTGTGTACTATCCATCCAATTGTAAATGCATTCATGTAACTGTGGAGAGAGAGAGAGAGAGAGAGAGATTACCGTTGGGAATGAAAATTCAAAATTGACACTGGAACTATTCCGCATACAAAATGCTGAGAAATGGAACCAGTTCTGAAATGGAATGAATAGAATATCGTAAAAGCAATGCATTTCTCTCTTGCAAAACCTGATTGAAATACAATGTTCAAGGTACCGGTACATGTAGATTATTAGAATGGAGGACAGTGCAGAAGATTTTGGAAGCCCTCGACATTCTTAAGTCGTACAGTGTCTTAACCATGGTATTTAATCTCATCTCATCTCATATTATATTATATTATATTATATTATATTATATTATATTATATTATAGACTAGGGGAAATATGATAAACAGCCAGGGGCCAACTCTTTGTTTAGCTACTCATTATCCAGTCCGACATTTGGGGAGATTGATGGACTGGTTATTTGAACAGTACTAAAAGCGACACCGGCAACGCATAACTTAATTGCTTCAGGCACACATCTTGAAAACGGGTAGTGTGGTCCGATATACCGGTTAATTCAGGGTCCTTATGTGCTGAGTCTGGTAGTTGGTTAGGCCTGCCGTTTTAACAATGTTCTTATTATCACCAAGTGTCACCCGGATAATCGATAATGTAAATATGTTTTAAGAGTTGTTCTTGTGAGCGTTGTTTGACAGTAACCCCCCAAAATCACCTAAGTATGAAAATTAATTCAATGTTTCTTTGTGAAATTATAAGATAAAATAAAAAAACGACAGATATTCAATATAATGTTGCTACAAATTCCCTTTCCAGTACAAACGCATTGACGATTTGCAATCGTGCAGTTTATCTGTGAATTAATCGCGCTCATTCCAGCTCATATCTATCCCACTTCAAATAATTGAATACTACCTTATCTGATAAATTGACTCATTAAGGATACCTTAAATCAAACAGTAAACAGCCAAACAATGTTATCAGCGGTTATCATGACTCGGGATTTTTAACCCCAGATGTAATACATTGTTAAGATGATCTGAACATAATGGGATATGGTAGGGGGCCTATATTGACGAGATACGTGTAACCCGGTCCTGAGTCCATTGCCATGAAAAAATATCCTGAGTTTCAATTATTCATGCCATCTTTATTAGGTCCCTATCAACATGCTTTTGGACCCTAAGTTTAAGACATAACTGGAAACTACAATTAATTATCATACGTCAGTGTCGTTTCTACCAAGGACAGAGTAGTAATTTTTACAGCAATCTATGACACTCGGGGTAGTAAGTTTCCAACAATTTATGGCGCTCAGTGTGGTGAGTTTCCGACAATCTATGGCCCTCAGGGTGATGGAAAATCAGAGCAAATATACAGCAGACATGTACAAAGAACTCAATTCGCTCACAAAGTTCAAGTCTATCTGACCAAAGGGCGGTGGTTATGTTTGGGGTTTCTCAAGGGTGACATCAAGGACGCTTGAATAGGTTTCCAGTAGCGCGTCATATTTTTTATATAAAGTCAGCACAGTTCGTTTGTTTGCTTTTGTTCGTACTAGCACGTTGGAATTAGCAGTTTTATTTAGGTTATAAACACATTTAAATACTTTGAACCATAACGATACAGTGTATGAGTAACATGGAACGTCTTTGCATGTCGAATCAGAATATTTAAAAAGATAAACAGAAATGGCGGAAACAGGGGAGGGGGGCACAGCGGCCATGAGCCCCTTTCACCTGGTTCTTCTTCCGATTTTCCCCATCTTCCAAAAGGAGAAGAAAAAAAAGAACGACGAGAGAAATAAGTCTCATTAAGCCAAGCCATTTCTTCCAACCCTGAGCCTAGAGTATTATTTTAAAATTGTCTACTGTTTAAAATTTGCCTCACTTCGCTCGGTATTTTTGAATCCCCCTACCCTCAGCAAAATTTAGGATTCGCCAACGGTGCTCATTTGTACAATTAAAGGGGTCCACCAACAAATGTACTTCGGGTATTGCATTCCTTTATTTCTCAGCGGTCACCCTGTATGGTTCAAACATAAATACCCTTAGCCATATCGATCGATGTCAACTTCATTTGCAGGTGACACCTCTTTTTAAGGTGAACAACAGACACCAGTGTTAACCATTAAAGCTGCTTCGTTTCATCATTGTATTTTCGCTTCATTCTGTGTTTTTTCTCGTTTTTTAATGGGAATTATCCCAGATGATTTCTTGAGACTTTGCATAAAATCAAGCGAATTTTGACAGGGTTTGGAGGGGAGTGAGGCCACAAATAATGACAGATTAGTGAGTGCGGTGCGGCAAAACATTTAAGCAATTTATCCTGGGACTTTACTCTGGTTGTTTTATCTAAAGTTTCGATTTGTAGAATTACTGGAATTTTTTTTTTATGCAACAGAATGTATTCATCACGTTTTGCATGTTGCTTTTGTAATGCATTCTAAGATGACATTCCCGGCGTATAAATTTTCACCATTATTACTTAAAGGTTAATCCAGCCTCACGTGGATTCTCGCATGTTTTCTACACTCGTATCATATGCGACGCAGTGTGGACAACCTATGTTATTTAGACCATCTTGGATTATTTCTATTAATGAGGTCATTTTGTAAGCCAAGCCTCTCACAGCTTACCTTATACCACCTTCTATTACAGAATAAATAAGCACGTAGCACCTCAGTGAATTAGAAAAAGGGGAAAAGTCCCATTACTAGAGGGTTTATGACATGCATGTAATTATCTTATGTAAACTGATACAAAAAAATAAATAAATAAATATGATGGAAAACTGTATGATGTAAGACAGCAGACCTCTTCTAACCTGATAAAATTTCATCTCAGCACAGTACACCTGTACTTCTAACTTAAAGTATATACNTAAGCTTTGCCTTTCATTATGGAAAAAAACATTTCTTTTAATTAAAGCATCACCGTATTTTAGACAATTGGCAAGCATAACCAGTAACTTCAAAACACAATTCAAAGTAAATCCCTGCGAAGGCTTTCCAAAACAACAGAAAAAATTACCAAATAATTTAACAAAGCATATGCAAACTATGAGATATATAACACTTGACATACTGTAAATCTTCTCTCAAAAATTGAAATGAGTACCTGTAATTTCTTTATGTCTTCCCATGTAGAATCATTGACGGGGTAGAGGTAAAGAGATTCCGGGCTATAAGACTGGAAAATTACTTACATCAGTATATTTTCAACACACGTGACATTCAATATTTCTTATCAAACGAAATAACATTTGAATAGACAATTTGCAAGTTTTAAAGTTTTGAAGGAATATAATGTATATTGTCTGTGTACTATCCATCCAATTGTAAATGCATTCATGTAACTGTGGAGAGAGAGAGAGAGAGAGAGATTACCGTTGGGAATGAAAATTCAAAATTGACACTGGAACTATTCCGCATACAAAATGCTGAGAAATGGAACCAGTTCTGAAATGGAATGAATAGAATATCGTAAAAGCAATGCATTTCTCTCTTGCAAAACCTGATTGAAATACAATGTTCAAGGTACCGGTACATGTAGATTATTAGAATGGAGGACAGTGCAGAAGATTTTGGAAGCCCCCGACATTCTTAAGTCGTACAGTGTCTTAACCATGGTATTTAATCTCATCTCATCTCATATTACATATTATATTATATTATATTATATTATATTATATTATATTATATTATATTATATTATATTATAGACTGGGGGAAATATGCTAAACAGCCAGGGGCCAACTCTTTGTTTAGCTACTCATTATCCAGTCCGACATTTGGGGAGATTGATGGACTGATTATTTGAACAGTACTAAAAGCGACACCGGCAACGCATAACTTAATTGCTTCAGGCACACATCTTGAAAACGGGTAGTGTGGTCCGATATACCGGTTAATTCAGGGTCCTTATGTGCTGAGTCTGGTAGTTGGTTAGGCCTGCCGTTTTAACAATGTTCTTATTATCACCAAGTGTCACCCGGATAATCGATAATGTAAATATGTTTTAAGAGTTGTTCTTGTGAGCGTTGTTTGACAGTAACCCCCAAAAATCACCTAAGTATGAAAATTAATTCAATGTTTCTTTGTGAAATTATAAGATAAAATAAAAAAACGACAGATATTCAATATAATGTTGCTACAAATTCCCTTTCCAGATATCAGTACAAACGCATTGACGATTTGCAATCGTGCAGTTTATCTGTGAATTAATTATCATTCCAGCTCATATCTATCCCACTTCAAATAATTGAATACTACCTTATCTGATAAATTGACTCATTAAGGATACCTTAAATCAAACAGTAAACAGCCAAACAATGTTATCAGCGGTTATCATGACTCGGGATTTTTAACCCCAGATGTAATACATTGTTAAGATGATCTGAACATAATGGGATATGGTAGGGGGCCTATATTGACGAGATACGTGTAACCCGGTCCTGAGTCCATTGCCATGAAAAAATATCCTGAGTTTCAATTATTCATGCCATCTTTATTAGGTCCCTATCAACATGCTTTTGGACCCTAAGTTTAAGACATAACTGGAAACTACAATTAATTATCATACGTCAGTGTCGTTTCTACCAAGGACAGAGTAGTAATTTTTACAGCAATCTATGACACTCGGGGTAGTAAGTTTCCAACAATTTATGGCGCTCAGTGTGGTGAGTTTCCGACAATCTATGGCCCTCAGGGTGATGGAAAATCAGAGCAAATATACAGCAGACATGTACAAAGAACTCAATTCGCTCACAAAGTTCAAGTCTATCTGACCAAAGGGCGGTGGTTATGTTTAGGGTTTCTCACGGGTGACATCAAGGACGCTTGAATAGGTTTCCAGTAGCACGTCATATTTTTTATATAAAGTCAGCACAGTTCGTTTGTTTGCTTTTGTTCGTACCAGCACGTTGGAATTAGCCGTTTTATTTAGGTTATAAACACATTTAAATACTTTGAACCATAACGATACAGTGTATGAGTAACATGGAACGTCTTTGCATGTCGAATCAGAATATTTAAAAAGATAAACAGAAATGGCGGAAACAGGGGAGGGGGGCACAGCGGCCATGAGCCCCTTTCACCTGGTTCTTCTTCCGATTTTCCCCATCTTCCAAAAGGGGAAGAAAAAAAAAGAACGACGAGAGAAATAAGTCTCATTAAGCCAAGCCATTTCTTCCAACCCTGAGCCTAGAGTATTATTTTAAAATTGTCTACTGTTTAAAATTTGCCTCACTTCTTTATTTTTGAATCCCCCTACCCTCAGCAAAATTTAGGATTCGCCAACGGTGCTCATTTGTACAATTAAAGGGGTCCACCAACAAATTTACTTCGGGTATTGCATTCCTTTATTTCTCAGCGGTCACCCTGTATGGTTCAAACATAAATACCCTTAGCCATATCGATCGATGTCAACTTCATTTGCAGGTGACACCTCTTTTTAAGGTGAACATAACAACAGACACCAGTGTTAACCATTAAAGCTGCTTCGTTTCATCATTGTATTTTCGCTTCATTCTGTGTTTTTTCTCGTTTTTTAATGGGAATTATCCCAGATGATTTCTTGAGACTTTGCATAAAATCAAGCGAATTTTGACAGGGTTTGGAGGAGAGTGAGGCCACAAATAATGACAGATTAGTGAGTGCGGTGCGGCAAAACATTTAAGCAATTTATCCTGGGACTTTACTCTGGTTGTTTTATCTAAAGTTTCGATTTGTAGAATTACTGGAATTTTTTTTTATGCAACAGAATGTATTCATCACGTTTTGCATGTTGCTTTTGTAATGCATTCTAAGATGACATTCCCGGCGTATAAATTTTCACCATTATTACTTAAAGGTTAATCCAGCCTCACGTGGATTCTCGCATGTTTTCTACACTCGAATCACATGCGACGCAGTGTGGACAACCTATGTTATTTAGACCATCTTGGATTATTTCTATTAATGAGGTCATTTTGTAAGCCAAGCCTCTCACAGCTTACCTTATACCACCTTCTATTACAGAATAAATAAACACGTAGCACCTCAGTGAATTAGAAAAAGGGGAAAAGTCCCATTACTAGAGGTTTTATGACATGCATGTAATTATCTTATGTAAACTGATACAAAAAAATAAATAAATAAATATGATGGAAAACTGTATGATGTAAGACAACAGACCTCTTCTAACCTGATAAAATTTCATCTCAGCACAGTACACCTGTACTTCTAACTAAAAGTATATATAACTTAAATTGCACCCTGTACTTATTTAATTAATTAATAATAAGTTATATTGTACCCTGTAATTATATTTATAAACAGTACCGTACTGTCCGCACATGTACTGTAAATCTTGAACGGTCGAAATATTGTAATTAACAGTTAATGTATGTTTTGTCTTTGTACATTGGGCGGGTGGGCTATTTGTACCTGTATACGTGTACATACGTTTCAACACACACATGTGCACATAAATAAGATTTAAAACGCACCCATTTTGATCAATTATAGCCCGCCCGAGCTTCTGTGCCTTCTCCAGGGACTAAAAAATAAATATGCAATAAGAAAAGCACTCAGATTATTTATTTTAATTCCCTGAAGCAGGCACACAAGCTGAAACCTCGGGTGTAATACCAATTATAGTTGATCTTAATAGATGAGTTTGAAATCTAATTTTATTCATTGAACAAGATCAATACTGTGATTGTGATGAAAAGTCACACACACACACACACACACACACAGCAGACGGCAAAAGACAGACAAAACATACCAGTTGTGTCGACACATTTCCCTGGTGTATATAAAAATCCCCACTTTTCTGCCACACGTCCCCGTAACTTGTGGCCAGGAGCACCCAGAAAACGAGAAAATACGCCGTATTCATGACAGTCTCGAAGAGGGAAGCAACAGCGTCTACCACTGTCTGTTAAGGAATAACTAGGGCGTCGGGGTTAAGTAGGCCAAGTGCGTCTACAGGGTGACAAAGGACCTCGTATCAATTTAACAATGACCTCGATAGCTTACAGCCTCTCTTTGCGCCCTCCGTTCGCTAAAATTCAGTGTCGAATGTAAAAGAATACAATAAACGATGCTACTAGCATATGTGCGACAATCGTGAACAAACGGTAATTTCATAAGCCCCTGGATAAATGAACAGAACAGAAATGAATGGCGTCCTTTAGAAGTAAAAGGAGCGTTAAAATTGCCAAATACTTGCCTGGTCTTTAACAATACCAATAATCTCTTATGAAAAATGTACAGAACTAGAAAAAGGGAATTGACTGTAACTGTAGTCTGAATTACTCTGTCAAAGCGACTTGAAAAGGGGCTTACCTGAAGGCAGAAACACAGAGGCGGAGGATTTAATAGTGTTCATGTATCATCTTAAGCGTTTCATGTATAAGTGTTTTATAGTGTACATGTATCAATAAAGATGTATCATCTTAGGCCTTTCATGCTTAAATCGTCGTCTTTAAATGTTAAAAAATAACCCAAAATTTCACCGAGACGTTTCCCATAACGCGTATTTTTAAAGTTTAAACAGCATTCGGCATCTTAATTAATAGACTTTTGTTTTGGTGCACGTTTCTGTATCCTATATATTGACGTCTGAAGACCTACAGAAAATTTGACCAAAATGACGTGTAGTCATGCATGTGTAACAGCAACACATATTATTATTTTCCTCCTTGAAAGATGAGTGAACGAACGAGTAAATGGATCAATAAACAAACAAAGACGATAAAAAATGAATTAGTTTTTCTCTTAATTTGCCCGAGCTCAACAGCATAAAATAAGTCAAATATTTCGGCTTTTCTGTGAAGCATCCAGGGCAGCTGCTTTGCTTTTTTGCCCTGATGGGAGATAAAAATGATTTTAAAGGATTACCAATTGTAAAGCCATTGAAACTATAAGCTTCAGTGTATTACAAATATTTAACTTGGTCTCAATACGTGTACCCTATGTAGAACCCATGAAAGGAATCACATGTATTTGATGGGCCAAAAAATTAACTTATACTTAACCTATAAAAAATTCCGCGCATATCCAGAATATGGTAAAATAAAGAAAAGAAGAACACTCCCTTTTCAAACGACTCTATAATGAAAACTACTCTCTGCCAGAACTCAGCAGGATGATAACGTAATTTCTGAAATTCTGCAAAATTTCTCGCCGGACAAAATGTGAACAGTGTAAGCCAGAGACATTTGTGTATATTTAGTGAAAAAATATCTCTTTGGTCCTAGTATAAAGAAATTGAAAACTGTACAAGAGCGTCCACGCTATTTTTAATGCAGAGCCGACAATACAAGTAGAAAAACAACGCAACGCCGTGGAGAATAGAGTGGGATCATCATACTTTCTTTAATTTCCGGTGAAAAAGAAAGTTGCCCTGTTAAATAAGTTCAGCAGCAATTAGATGAATGCAATATAGAAATGCTAGTTTATCGTTAAAAAAGGTCGGTAGGCAATTTATCATGTTGTCCACGTCGGCAACCAATGCAATATTGGCAATAGCCAAAACGCTGTTTTAGCATGCCCTTCTAAGACCCCTGCAATGATGTACATGTAGTTTACACCAACTGATATAATAATGTAGCTGATGTCGGTGTTGATGAAGATGATTTACGTCTAGACACGTTAGAGACATGAAATCCATCTAAATTCTTTGACCATCCATGAAATCCATCTGAATTCTATGGCCATCGGTCGTAACTAATTAGATGAAGTTCTTTAAAAGGCAACAAATCTCTCTGTGCTTTGAAAACGGTATAGCATAATTGTCACTTAAAATGGCCAGTCACGTTCCAGTGTCAGTTTTAAAGTTTGGGTCAATTTTGCTTTTTTTTTCTGTGGACAATATAACAATAAACATACAGCGAATTCTAGTTTCGGAGAGTTTAAACTTTTTCGTACAAGCAATAGTACTGTCGTATTTTTCAGCTAAAAGAACATATAAAACACATACCGGTATAAACCACTTCTACTAGTTTCTTTTACGACTACCAGTAAAATAAATTCGACATGTCAAGTCATAAACCAAATTAATTAATCTCTCGTCGAGTTCAAAATAGCTTTAAACTGCACTTTCTTCAAATTTTTGGCCTTAAATTTACATTTTATCTGTCCCTCCAGTTCACAAAGGTCCGCTAAATGACGTGCATGTACATGTGCAATAATCATCACTCTCACTCCCATGTATGGGTATATACAGTGTAGCAATTGCAAACTTTTTCTAATGAGACTGTTGAGGGATATTTATACTGGAAGCACAGAAAAAAAGCAGAAAGCATCCGTTCAAATATCATTTTTCGGGAAATGTGAAACGATGTCCTTTGGTATGTCTGTAAGTTAAACTATTTTAAATCATATAGTGGCGTTTGATCGGGTTTTGTGGCAAAAAAAGGCTTAAAATGCATCTTCAATATACAATGATGTTTCATTGATAAGTTTTTATCACCATCTTCTACGCAAAATGAAAATGCTGTACATATATGAACATAGGTATATAAAACGAGTTAAGGTTATTCGACCAACTTCCTGATTGACACAGGCGCACCAAAGTGGTATTTTGCTGGGGTGGCGCTCACATTATTATTTTAATCGACCAACGTGACTATGTGTGAGAGTTGATTGTGCCCAAATGGGCAACAGTGCTCGCATACACACATACCCGTACGCAAGCATACCGAACGCATAAACATCGTACCGTATAAAGAGTACTTTTAAGCATAGTAAGGCCTTCCTTATTCGATAGTATCAAATCTGAAACAAAACTGAGCATTATTTCGTCAAAACAACTTGCGTGAGAGACGGTGTATTGCCTTCGCGCGCAATTCACCATCCCGTTCCTCAAGAAGTCCCTAGAAAGTAGTACACGTTGCGGTAAACGTGAGCAGGCTGAATTTCAGGATTGTTTCATAATCCATGAATTTCGTCAGATTTACATAAGAAGGTGTGATTCATTCGAATCAAAACACTTCAATATAATAAAATAAAAATTGAAGAAATTGAATGAGATCACATATAGAGATAATAATAATAATAATAATAATAATAACACTCTTAATAACAACAGATATATGAACGAAAAAATCAAATTGGAATGAATAAACTAATACTTGGAAAGAAATAGAAGGAAGGAAAGAGAAACAATTTCCAAAACAAAAGGTACTCGTGCACACTTAACGCACGTGCTTATGTGTGTGTGTCGACACGCCGAGGGACTCATTAGAGCATAGTATACAACATAGCTGATGAGAGAATTAATGAACACAGACAGAATGTATCCTGAGTAAATGTGACACACGCTGAGGTAAAGATCTGGGGGATTTGAAGGGACTCGACCTCTCTCTCGCAGATAGGGTTCTCGTGCCGGTGCACGTGGATGTTCACCTTTGAGGTTTGCCCTGAATTATGCTTAATTTCTTTTCTTTTGTTCCTTTTGTTCTTTCTTTTATATTTATCCATGGAGCCTTTTTTAAATGACATCCATAGCATCGAATTCTATATGAGTTGAAGAACTACACTGTGACAGTTAATAGCCCTGGCGTATCGATAATTTTGCTACAAGGGGAGGGGAAGACGAGGATAAATTTACTGCTGAAGGCGAATCGACGCAAATGTAGTGTACTAAAACAATGATACTGGAATATGTAGGGCCCTGATATTGAAGGCCTAGGATTTCATTTTTCAGTTGCCATGCTGTTTTTGGGCGATTAAAACTGGGTGTATCCCTAGCTAGGGTGGGGTGGGGTAACCCACTGCCCTCCCCCCAACCCGACACCCCCAACTTTTCGGACCTGTAATGGAATTGTTGTATATTGATCTTGTTCTAGCATTAATGGAAGGTGTGCAAGCGTGAGCAAATTTCAGATATGTTTCAACTCCTTGACTACTAAATCATATGCATAAATACGTGTATGAGTCATGAACTTTTAGCAAATGACAAAAACACTTGAAAGGGTAACCGAATTACCGCCCTTTGGGAAATTATTTTATTTCAGTATGTATATCTACTGCTCAAACAAGCTTCAGTTTTGTCCCAGCCAAGTGACTTGCAGCGAAGTGACTTTCGTCAAGTGCTCTGACATTGAGGTAAAATTAAGATATTTATTATTTGTTTAAGCTTTAGGTCATAAGCGTAATTAAGATGCAAGGAGATGTTTTTAAAGGTAGCGCAATGTCTAAAATCACATCATTTCTTCGAAGAAAAACACATAACGCACCGACGGCACTTAGTGGGTAAACAAATAATATATTTTTTTTTCTTAAAAATGACCTTCACTAAGACTCTTTTAGGCTGGAAGATGGGGGATGCAATCTATATTTGTCTTATGAACGAAGTTGTCGTTGAGATATTGACGTTTCAGTTAAAACTGACAACTAATGAGTTTTATCCCTAACACTATTTCAAACATTGGATCATTTATACCGGTAAATGTATCGGTTTACATCTGAAAAAAAAAACGATCGAACGGCAATTAAAGACATTAGAACAATAGACATCTTGCATCTATTCCGGCATATCAAAAACAAAATTAACTGATCTCTCATCTTTAATAATGCTAATATAGATTATAAACCGTGGAGCCCATTCAAAAGTGACTGCTGGCACGTTTATGTCGTATCCTGCAAGAGCTTCCTTGACCACAATGTGTTAGGTGGCCAACGCAACAATTCACCTTGGTTGCACTGTAACATTGCAAAGTGCACTGCTTATTTCTGAAGGTCTGAATCATGTCAAGTTGGCGTACGGCTATTATCCGTTTTTCTTATACAGCATTTAAAAATTCGCAACTTATGTTATTTACAAATCTTGCACTAATGAGACAAAGGCATGTGGCAACATTAAAGGCCCATTTTCCAAGAAAGGTTCGACATTTTCAGCAATACTGTATATTGGTAAAAATATGCATATACACTCACTCTCAATATACAGGTCCATTAAACGTTTTTTATATAATTTAAGGTAAATGAAAGAAAGAATTATTTATCCAATGGAACTTTACAGACGTCAGTCAACTTAAATCACTTAAAAAATAATTATTAGATTTATCTGTTCTCACACAAAAAACGTAAACGGAATAAATTGTTAAACCTTCGTTACTGTCGCTCGCAGAACCATCTCACAATCTGCAATATATCAAATTTATTTTACTATAATAAAAAATCTCAAACTTACCGGGAAGCGAGGACGATGTCTAACGTTTATTTTAAATAACTTGGCAAATAACTTGCGTCTACTTTCGCGGTGTCGCCGAGTTTTTTAAAAATTGACAAACTTTCGTTTCGTCTTTTGGCGCTGGTCATCACTTTTTGTTTTTAGCCATTAATATAACTTCAATTCAGTTACATCCATGAGTATCTAGACGATATGGTGACAGGACACAGTTAAATGTTTTAAAGGAAATCTCGTAATACCCCTATAGCGCAGTTTAATTTTTGTTAGTATATATATATATATATATATATATATATATATATATATATATATATATATATATATATATATATATATATATATATATATAATCCAAAGAGGTTGTTATTTTTAAAATTTCCGTTACTAAAACAACTGAAACCTTCGTAACCTAATGCAAATATTTCCCCATACTTGCAAGGCGTGATTTAAAAAAAAAAATTCCATGTGACAGGTGCACAAAAAGCTAAATTTAATCACTTTCTGTCGCCAGCGATTTAGAAAAAGTAGAATTCGCAAATAGGCTACTTCTTTAACCGCATATTCACTTTTCTGTTTTCTTCAAATGGACCTATAGGCCTATATTGAGAATGAGTGATAGGCCTAGTGTTTCACGCTCCACCAATTTTATATCAAGAATTAATTATGATACCTCAGGCCCGTTGCCAGCAGTTTCAAAAGGGGGGTGGGCGTTCTTTTTCTGAAAAAGCGGACCTTTTTCCATAAAAACTTCATGAACTTAGATCAAATTTTACCTAGAGTGGACCTTTTCCCACCAAAAGGGGTGGTTCTTTCGAACCCCTTGAACCCCCCCCCCCCCTGGCTACGGGCCTGTCCT